TCCATCTATCTATCTATCTATCTGAGTCCATTTATCTATCCTATCTCCATCCATCCATCTATCCATCCATCCATCCATCTATCTATCCATCCATCCATCTGAGTCTGTTTATCTATCCATCCATCCATCCATCTATCTATCCATCATCCATCCATCTATCCATCCATATCTATCTATCTGGGTCTGTATCCATCCATCCATCTCATCCATCCATCCATCCATCCATCCATCTATCTATCTGGGTCTGTTTTCCATCTCATCTATATCCATATCTATCTATCTATCTATCCATCCATCCATCTATCTATCTATCATCTCATCATGAGTCTGTTTATCCATCTATCCATCCATCCATCTATCTATCTATGGGTCTGTTTATCTATCTATCTATCTGAGTCTGTTTATCTATCTATCTATCCTATCCATCCATCTATCTATCTATCTGAGTCTGTTTATCCATCTATCTATCTATCTATCTGGGTCTGTTTTTATCTATCTATCTATCTATCTATCTATCTATCTGAGTCTATTTTATCTATCTATCCATCTATCTATCATTCATCCATCTGATCTGAGTCTCATTTATCTATCTATTCATCTATTCATCTATCTATCTATCTATCTATATCTATCTGAGTCTATCATTTATCTCATTTATCTATCTATCTATTCATTCATCATCTGATTCATTTATCTATCTATCTATCTATCTATCTATTATCTATCTATCTATCTATCTGTTTTTCTATCTATCTGTTATATTCATCTATCTATCTATCCATCTGAGGTCTGTTTATCTATCTATCTGAGTCTGTTTATCTATCTATCTATCTGGGTCTATTTATCTATCCATCCATTTATCTATCTATCTATCTATCTATCTGGGTCTGTTTATCTATCTATCTGAGTCTATCTATCTATCTATCTATCTATCTGGGTCTGTTTATCTATCTATCTGAGTCTGTTTATCTATCTATCTATCTATCTATCTGGGTCTGTTTATCTATCTATCTGAGTCTGTTTATCTATCTATCTATCTATCTATCTATCTATCTATCTATCTATCTATCTGGGTCTGTTTTATTATCTATCTATCTATATCTGGGTCTGTTTATTCTATCTATCTGAGTCATCTATCTATCTATCTATCTATTTATTCATCTGATCTATTTATCTATCTATCTATCATCTATATCTATCTATTCATAGATATCTGCGCACATCGATAGATAGATAGATAGATCTATGTACGCATGCGCGAATGCGACCATTTCCTTTCGTTTGCGTGTGGGAACCTGATCATTTATTTGTCGGACGATTAAATAAAAGCGAGTCAGCTACAAAGGCAAAATCCCTTTATCCTGTTCTTGTATACAAATTAGCGGCCTGCCGTGCATTTCTTTGATGTTTTATAGTTTCTTCTACATTAATAAAATATGTAGTCGACTGAAGAGTTTATGTTTTGGTTAGGAACAGGTCCCTCTCAATAGCAAGGGCAAAAGAAGTGGAAGCCAACACGCATAGATCAAGGAGTAGAAACATAAAATTGTAGCATTCTTCCGATTAACACGACTAATAATGAAACAATAAATGATAATGATAAAAGCACAATGTTGATATGGGGATAACGGTTAAACTGATGAAAGTAAAGAGTACAAAAAGCAACATGATTGGATATGAACGCTAACCCATTGGGAATTGCGCAAACGTCTGTGTTCTGATAATATAAAATGATTGTCATGCAAATAAATTAAAATAAAATAAAATAGAAATTAATAAAAAGTAATAAATAAAATGAATGAATAAATAAAAGTCGTATACGGTTTATATCATAATAATAATAATAATAATAATAATAATAATTCCTAGAAGTCCATGCCTCAAGGAGATACAAAAAGTTGTTCTGACAAGTACAGCCCACACTTTACGAAGGGCATTATCTATGTAATATTTATTTATTTTATTTTATTTTTTTTTTCGTCAGTGGAAAGTGTCATGATGCCATTTCTAACCTTAGGTCCCTGGGCGGGATCCGGAAAGAAATGTGTAAACGCCAGAAATCAAATAAAATAATAATAATAATAATAAGTAGACGAAGAAGAAGAAGAATAGAATTAAAAGCGAATGTTTTATTCTTACCAAGCACTCATACTAAAAAATCGTGTTAATCCTAAATACAGATTCTGTGATAAATATCCAGAAACAATTAAGCGTCTTGTATCAGGTTGCGCGATATTGGCACCCAATGAGTATAAGACACGGCCTAGCAGAGTGAGTCAATATCTGCACTGGAAAATATACAACTTTTACGGGAAGGAAACGCCAAGAAATTGGTATGAACACCATCTAGACTCGGTTACAGAGATAAGGCCTGTAACAATTTTACGGGTCTTTACAATACACACAAACAGAACAATCAAAGGTAATCATCAGACATTATGATCAGAGACCACAAGACCAGAATGTGCTTTCGTATTGACATGGTAGTCTCTGTAGATTGTAATGTATCTTTGAAAATCTTTAAAATACAAGGCACTTGAAGCGGAAATCTAAAAAAAGTGGCACATGAGGACATCAATAATTCCAGTTGTATTTGGAACCCTGGGATAGATTGGAAAAGGTTCCGATAGTCTCAGTGAAGGGAGTTCTAGTAGTTCATGTCTTAGAGAAATTAAAAGTATTCTCACAAGTACAGCCCAACGTCTTACGAAGGGGATTTGTCTACGTAAAATGTACGTGATCTTAGGTCGTTTATTTTTTTTATTTGGGTCTTTATTTTTTATTTCATTGTTATTTTATTTTAAAAAAACTCTTCTGTGTAAAATGTTATAAAGGCTTTTCTTAACTCAGGTCACTTGTTAGGACCCGGAAGAAAATCAGTATACAACAGAAATCAAAGGAAATAATAATAATAATAATAATAATAATGTCAAAATATTGGCCGTTCAGGCCACTATTGACCCAGTAATCATTAGGTTGTTGGGTTCTATACCATCGAACCTAAAGACCTACATGACGGGAACTCACAAAAAGTCAATTAGCCCATCACTTCAGAAGTTTGCATTATACGGCTCTGCAAAAAGTGATATGTTTCAGGCTGTACGAATTTAGGGAAAACATCCATGATGAGAGATCTCCAAGATCTATCTATCTATCTATCTATCTATCTATCTATCTATCTATCTATCTATCTCATTCTCTTTATTATCTATCTTTTCTATCTATCCCATACTCTTCATTATCTATCTATCTATCTATCTATCTATCTATCTATCTATCTATCTATATCTACAGTGACCCAAGAAAATGTTTTTAGCCAGGAGAAATAAACTACATCCAATTTCAAAATTTATTTACTTAATCCCTACTCAACATAAACAAACAATATTTGGAACTAGTATAGATTAGATCGTCCATTTTCTAGTTTCAGTGCTTGTATTTGATTTTTCATGGATTTTATCAAGTTATCAACAATCGTCTCATCCATATTTTGCCATTCCTTTAGCAATGTTTCTTTAATGGTTGCCACTGACATGATTTTGGTTGCACGCTCTCAAAGTCTTCGGTCAAGGTGCTCCCAAACATACTCTATTGGATTCATGTCAGGATTTTGGGCTACCCATGGAAGTGACTCGATTCCTTGCGATTCCTTCCAGACCTTTGCTACTTTGCTCCGATGACATGGCGTTCTATCTTGAAAAAAAGGTAGACATACTTGTCAATCTGATTGGTTTCAAATAGTAGGAGTAGTCTTTTTTCTAATATTTGACAGTATTTGGGACCATTCAACCGCTCGTCAACAAGAATCAGTTCAGATTTTCTTCCAAACCAGACAGCGCCTCACATCATTACTCCAATCCCTCCATATTTCACGGCCGCCTGCAGATTTTCAGTGTTCCAAATCTCATTCTGCTCTCGCCAAACATAAACCTGTCTCGAATTCGATATTGGCAGAATTTACTTTCATCTGACCAAATTACAGACTGCCAAAATTCATAATCTTTGCTTTCGAATTTTCCTACTCAGTCCATTTGCCTGTTCCTGTTAACCTCTGAAATCCATGGCTTCTTTCTTGCAATTCTTCTTTGATAGTCGTTTTCTTTCAGAGTATTTCTCACCGCATATGGCGACATTTCCATGTTGTTGCCGACATCTTTGATGCCCTGACGACGGTTTCTGATGACTTCCCTCTTCAGTGCCCTTTTCGTTCGCCGCTCAGAAACGATGCTTGGTCTTCCTGAACTTTGCTCCACACGACAATCACCTTCTTCATTAAATTTCTTGACAATATTATTAACTGTTTGATAATTAATCTGGAAAAACCTAGCAATTTCTCTATTTGACTTGCCACATTGATGCCATCCTATTATTTGCCCTTGTTGAAATTCACTAATTTCCTTACTTCCGCGAACTTTCATTGCAAAATATAAGTCAACTATTGTTCATAGATGAGAGTAGCTTGATACTAACACGGTATTGTCTGAAAAAAGGAAGAGAGATTATTACACAAGCCAAAATTGCTGTAATCAAGGGTGGCTATAAAAATTATAGCCCACTCTATCTATCTATCTATCTATCTATCTATCTATCTATCTATCTATCTATCTATCTATCTATCGAGAGAGAGAGAGAGAGAGAGAGAGAGAGAGAGAGAGAATTACTGTTCATATCTATTTCAGTCTGTTCATATCTATCTATCTATCTCAGTCTGTTCATATATATCTATCTATCTATCTATCTATCTATTCGGAACGAGAACAACTAGGACATGAATATAATAAAGGGTTCAGTTTGAAATTCAAATAAGCACATGATGAAAACGGGATATTAACATATGCAAAAAAATAAGGGTATTCATAACAAAGATGACTTACGTCCATACACTAGGATTTCGTCCGATCACTGAAGTTAAGCAACATCAAGCTTAGTCAGTATCTAGATGAGTTACCGCCTTTGGTATACCAAGTAATATAAGTTAGGATGTGCGGTTGTTGCAATGGGCTTACGACCATATCACTTTGGAACACCGGCTTACGTACGATATATATGTCTGTGTGCGTGTGTCTGTCTATCTATCTATCTATCTACACACGTTACGTCAAATATGACTAACAATATATCGTAATTAAGCTTTTTATTTAATTTTTCTTGAGTTTAGACAAGTGTTTTCTTTTCTGGGCACAAAGTGTCTAAACCTGTCCAAACATTCTGCATATTCGAACGATTTCGACTATTCTTTCAGCCACTATTAAAGGCAATTTTTATTTTGCATTTTTAATTGAATGTGCATGTGTGTGTTTTATATATATATGAGTGTGTCTGAAGTTATAGGGATGTTTTATTTTCCAAACACGATCAGCAAATTGTGGCCGTGTTCGGAGTTATAGAATGTTGTCTTTTTTATTTATAAGGCTTCAGTTATTTTTTAATCTTTTAAAATATAGATGAGGCTATTATGCTTTTATTTTTTACTAGTATGTTTCGGATGGAGTCTTCTAAGTTTGCGTGTGTGTTTAATGAGTTCTGTTGGATCTGTGGTCGAATAGGTGTAACGTAAGATGTCTGGATAGGCATGTAGTAGTGTGACCGATGTAATTATTTATGAGTTTCGTTTGATCAGGAACAGAGTTCCTTACGGAACATTTGAATTCGTAAATATGGTTGGTTCTTTGTAGTTTTGGTTTTTCGGGTGTGTTATTATTTTTTATGATAAAATTAGCTGTTTTAATTTTTTTTGTAATAGTTAATTTAATTTTCTTCTTCAGGTCAACTGCGGTTGTGACATTTCCAAGAGAAAATTCTTATTACTTATACTTAACATGTATTTGTCTATTATAGATGTTAATGTTATTGTTTTTACCTGTATGTTCGATATTACCATTAGTGAGATTAGAAAGAAATAGTCGAATCTGTTGGTCGATGAGGTAGTTAGGAAAACCATTGTTAACTAGCGTTTGTTTTACATTATTGAGTTCTTTAAGGAAAAGGGAACGGAAGGATGAATTCTCGTGTGCTCTCTATTTTATATCTACGTGGGCATTCACTCTTAAAATTAAGGAGGTAAGAGTTTCTGGTAGTGTTTTTTTTTTGTATAATAAAATGGTGATTGTATTTTTACTGACTTCTGCGAGAACATCTAAGAATTGGAGTTTATTGTTTTGACTAAGTTCATAGGTAAAGTTAAGAACAGAGTTTGTTTTCGAATGTGAGCTTAAGATTATCAATTTCT